CCACACACTCACACCCACACACCGACACCCACACCGACACACCCACACCCACACCGACACCCACACCCACACACCCACACCCCACCCTTCTCTTTTTCGTTTTAGATGATTTTATTTGCATTTCAAAACAATTCGTTGATATCATCTATATTCATTATTGAAAGATCAAAAATTCAAGTTTTATTACAAGAATTTAATCATAAACAAATTTGCCAAAACGATTTGCTGGAAAATGAAGACATATTACTTGTCTTATCTTTGATGAACGTTTTTATTAATTTTAATCCAAAAACTATGCATATAAATACTATTGCATTACAAAATATCTAGAATAACTAAATAAATTTGATTAAACATGAATAAAACTTAACATTTCTAAATTTCTAACACTTTAAAAAATAATTCATAGCCTTTTGTATCTTCGAGTTCTACCATTTTTCCTATCTAGATGTTGATACTGCTTCAAGTATTCATTCCACACTTTCGCTGCATGTGATCATTCATATACATTCTTACATATTCTTTCATAGATAAATATTTAGCTACATGTTTATCTCAAAACATCATATAACATCATAAATAAGTCAACAATTTCATATCTTTCATGTTATTTTATATAAACTTCAAATCAATAGTATCACTATACTCATTCGTATCGGATTTAGATACACGATGATTTCTGTTCCCTTATCATCGAACTGTTACATATAACTGTTCAATAAAATTAACTGTAGTATCCTCATAAAAAACACTAAAGCTCACCAAATAAAAACTAACATTCTTCCTCTGGTTTTTTTCTTACAAAAAAATAATTCATCTGAACTGTTAGCAAAATTAAAAATTAATTAAAATGTTTGTATCAATTCTATACACTGTCTACAGACTAATTCTGTAGACTGTTGTTACTTTATTATGCAGAGTCTCATAAAAAAATATCTAAAATCCTAAAATAATTGAATATCATATCAATTACTTCCATAAAAGAAAAGTTTTGCCTCATCATTTAAACTGGGTACATCGTATTCCACATTTTTAATCCCGCAAGGGATTGCGCTAACAGCTTTTTTTTCGGATGTGAGGATTTGAACCAGGTGTCATCACTGGTAGTGCATCATGTAGTCAATTGGTGATTCTAGTTACATTTTTTTCGTCAGCCAACATACTATAAAATAAATGGTATGATGGAAAAAGGCAGAAAGGAAAAATATCGAAAACAAAAATATCGAAAGCAAAAATAGTACAAATATAGACGAATAGAAATGCTGAAAGCGAGAGTATGTTGAAGTAGAAATCTTATTCCTTTCTGCCTTTTTCCATCCATTCAAAATAAATAAAGAAGGAGTATCAATTATTATCATATGACCTATTAGACAAGTAAGAAAAAGCAATAGCAACATTCTTTCTATCATACATTCATTTATTGTCAATTCTGACTATAAAAAAATTCATTCTTGTTTATATTGACGATATCGGTCAAATAGAACAGACGAGTGTATACAAATAAATACTGACCTTCGTAAGTTGAAAAAGAATAGATAAGTGAAAATATACATGGAACATTCATGGGTTGGATTGAATGATGTACCTCATGAAATTCTTATGATTAATTTCAAAAAATCAGTGTCGAATTCTATACATTCAAATTCATTTGTCTTTTCTCCCCAGTCAGATATTATTGGTAAAATCAGCCGACAATTACAAAAATTAAATGTTGGCATGAGTCAGCTCAATGATGGCATGACAAAACTTAATGATGGGATGGTTAAACTTACCGATGGTATGATAACACTTAATGATGGGATGGTTAAGCTTAATGAAGGTATGACAAAACTTAATGATGGGATGGTTAAACTTACCGATGGTATGATAACACTTAATGATGGGATGGTTAAGCTTAATGAAGGTATGACAAAACTTAATGATGGAATATTTAAATTGAATGATCAAAATAAATTATTAATTCAAATAACATTACCATTCATCGTGAGTTAATTTAACTGGACATTAAAAACTTAAATCTTTTTTTTTTTTGTTTTAGATTGTTGGCATCATGTCGTTTCTTATGAAAAAATGATTTTTTGTTGTTGTTTGTGGTGTAGCGTCGCTTGTTTTTTTTTATTTGTTAAACAAATAAACAATAAAAGCTTTATAAAGCTCATCTTCAGAAACATTTAATGATCTCTAAAGAAGCAAAACCAATCATTCTGAAAACATCTACTGAAATGATCGCGGTTCATTTTCAGAAGAGACATAAGTTCCTTTCGTATATGAAAGACTTTAACTACCACGGACAAAATTAACGCAACACATATTTTTGATAGATATTTTCATTAATGGTCAACCACGAAAAATACAAGTTTTTCAGAAATTTTTTTCGTTTATAGAACTTTGTAGAGATTGTTTCGCTGATCATTTTGGCCAAAAAGAATATTCAAATTAACTCAATAAATAATGATATTAGAGTCAAAATACTAAAAACTTAAGACTGTTCGTGACCACTGCTGAGTAGTAGGTGATATTTTTGAGTATTCTGAGCCAAGGTTCGTTATTTATCGAGTAAATTTGAATGTCATTTTTACTAAAATGATCAGCGAAATGAGCTCTACAAAGTTCTATAGACGAAAAAAATTTCTCAAAAACTTATATTTTTCGTGGTTGACCATTAATGAAAATATCTATCAAAAATATGTGTTGCGTTAATTTTGTCCGTGGTAGTAAGATAGTTAACAGAACCATCTAGAACAATTACGATTAGTTCTAAGTCTCAAAATATTTTGACAAACAGCTACTTAATACCAACCCAGGTGAAAAAATCATACACAGATCATATAAGATCTTACAAGATCGTACTGACGTCGGATGTTGTAAGATTCATAGGGGTGTGGGTGGGTGTGAGTGTGGGTGTGGGTGTGGGTGTGGGTGTGAGTGTGTAAGTGGGTGTGGGTGTGGGTATGGTAGTGAGTGTGGGTGCGGGGTGACGATGAACAAGGGATATTACCCACGCCCACACTCACCCCACACCCACCCCGCACCCACACCCACACTCACACCCGCACCCACACCCACACCCACACTCACACCCGCACCCGCACCCACACCCACACCCTCGAATGTCACCAAACCAGTATAAGCCCTCATTTGTCAGCTGAACTCACAGCCTGTCAATCCTAATCTGCTCAATATTGCTGCTCGTATAGGTGGTTCATTGCATACTCTCGAACAAGACATTATAAATTTATCATGTATACCGGCGAACGGCACCATTGTTATTGGAAGAAATATATATCGTCGAACAGCAAGTGATTACATACAGATTGCTTAGAGAACTCTTATGACCAATTCACTTTTTCAGACAATATGTTTTTTTTTCTGACTCCCAAAAATAAAACATTTTTTATACGTGTGTGCTTAACATAGCTTTTCTTTACAATATTAGAAGCGAGTTAAACTAACGATAAGATTCATAATTCTTCTGTAAGCAAAAGAACTACAGTGCATGTCGGTATAGGAAAATGTATGTGTCTAAGGAATCGATATCGCTATCAACACTTTTCAAGACATGAATGTATTAGACCACATGAAAGTATCCAATGTGCAAGTTTGAACGGCTTATTTATACGAATCATCGAGCAGTAAACATATTTATTTTTGTTGACCATTTCAAAGGAATCGCTTGTATTTTCTTGTCTAAAAATAATCACAAAACATGAATGTGTATGTTTTAATTATCATTCGTTGTGTAACTATGATTTTTCATGGAAAAATTGTCGATTAATTCCTGGTTATTTGAATGATTGCGATTAATCATTTATGTTGCAACAATTCTTAACAGTCAATATTTATATCTAAGAATACTTTTTTTTGCTTTTATTTAGATTTATCACAACACTCAAATGAAAAGTAAGTGTTTATTTATTAAATTTTTTTTGTTTTCTTTATTTAGATCCGCCTCAACAAGAAAATAATTGGTAAGTATTTGATTATTACAATTATTCTTCTTTTTTTTTTCTTTTATTTGAATCTAACACAACAGCAAAATAAAAAGTAACTATTTATTTATGAAAATTGTCTCTGTCCTTTATTTAGATCAGTCTTAACATCAAAATGATCAGTAAATATTATTTTATATAACAAAAAGGTATTATTATATTATTTACGGTAAATGCGAGGGAAGTCTTCAGTATGGCGATAAACGATAGTCACATACATGTTGAGACATAACAGCAGTCCTAATACGATAAAATGCTCTGTAAGTATTGGTCATTTGCGAAGTTAGAACTTGCCTGTGTATGAAATCAATCTACTCATTTCAATACGTTTAATCTAACGTGTATGATTTCTTGTTTATCGTTTTTTTAAAATTCTTCGAGAATCTAATATTTTACTTTGTTTAATGTCTTTCTCTTTTGTTTCGTGTTCACTGACTTCACTGCATAAAAAAAATTAAGGAAAATAAAGTAATGTAGAGATGCATAAAAACAGGAATGCATAGAGTTATATGTAAAGATATCATTTATATTACTTGCGCGATGAGAAAGATAATGAAAAATAAAAGTTGGAACTTTTTCTCATAATTTCTCCTGAAACCTTTAAGACAGTAGTGTAATAAATAGAGCACGTGTAGAATCAAAATAATATGAGAAAAACATTGTCTCATTGTGATCTCTGTTTGTTTCACTCTTTCTATCTTTCTATGTATATAAACAGCAATGTTCTTTACCGTCTTTTCTACTCTTCATTTTTGTAATAATCGATCGACGATCGTTCATATGATCGAAATACTCACGTATTAGATTCTTTACGACAGAATACGAGAGAATGTAAGTGCACCGGCTAAATAATCATGCACCAAACTGTTATCTTTTTGAAAATGATAAAATCGAATGAATATAAAAACTGTAGCTATAAAAGAAGAGCTTTCCTTTCAAAGAAAAGTTAAACTAAAAAATAACCGAGGGACAAGCGCTAAAATTATTTTCAAAAAACAGTGAAATTTTTATGCGTGAAAAGATGGCGCGTATCCTATTATTTTATTGTCTAGATATTATGTGCATGCTCCGTTACCAGTGATATAGAAAAGATTTCTATTTAACGTGCTTCTTTTACTGACAGAAAAAAACTCTATAAAATTTCACGTCAGTTTGTATACAATATGCGTAATTCAATTGAACGCTATATTTCATTTCTGTTGCACCTGATGATTTTTGTTCTTCTGATCAATGAAAATGAAATAGGTGTCAATGGCGAAGATTCTGATTTAACATGTACTTGTGACATAGTTAATGGAAGTATTTGCTTTCAATACTCATGCATAAAAAAACCATCAACTAGCTGCTTTCCCGGTATAAGTCAAATTATACTTGCTGATGGCACATTCAAAGCACTGGCTGATATCAACATTGGCGATCGAATACTTGTTAATGAACATAATCTCTACGAACCAGTCATTGGTTTTATTCATGCAAAACGAGAAGGTTTATTTGACTATCTTGCAATTAAACTACAATCAGTTCTTTCAAATTCATCTAGTATAATCTTTGTATCTCCTGATCATCTTATCTTTGACTATCACTCGGATGAAGCGCGCTTTGCAGGAAAATTTCGTCTTGGTGATCGAGTATAATTTATTGACAACAATGAAATTGTGCCCGGTGAAATTCTCAGTATTCAGTTGACCAAAGAACAAGGATACTATGCACCGCTTACTCCATCAGGCACTATTGTCGTTAATGGAATAGTTGCTTCTAATTATGCTACAGTGAGCAATCACATTTTAGCTCATCAAATGATGGCCCTTTACAGATGGTGGATTACTCTTATAGGACCAGTAACATCGACTGAAGAAATACCTTGGATAGTACAACTCTTGTTATACATGGAAAGTATCGTTCGATGGTGTGGTGGACATATTCTGACTGGCAATTATATGTATGATGGTATATTTGACGTGTCATCCATTGTCTGAAAACCTTCAAGACACTATTTTTTCTTAATACTTACATTAGTTAGACACACATGTGACTTTGTTTTCCTTTTTTCGTTTTTTTTCCTTTTTCTTCAGCAATCACATTAAATTCCTGATAGTTTTGATTTTTCTTAATATATAGCGACGTCTACGTAAAGTAGATAATGTATTTCAAACAAATGCTATCGTAACAGTGCTATTCACAATATGTACAATGGTGAAAATTGAGCAAGTTGTTACTTCATCGTATACAATGTGTAGTTACTCGACAATGTTATAATAGATTAAAGCTAGATTTTTTTTTGGATCACAATTGCCCGAAAAATGTGTTTTTTAATTGCTTTTTATTCATGAGTTGCCTAATTTGAGTTCAAATATAAATGGAGCCCTAACTGTTTATCACTACTTCGAAAATAATTGAAAAAACGGCACCCATGTTAAAATAGCAAAAAAGCAAAAGAAAAAATTTTATATAAATTATAATTTATAAATTCGACGGCCAGCCATTGTCGAAGTAATAAAAAATGAAGGATGAGAATTATTCTGACTTAAAACGATGAATGTAATCCAGACTATTCTCATCTGAGATGCTGCAAGCATCACCTAAGATGCTAAAAGCATTGTCTGCGATGCTGCAAGCGTCTCCCGACATTTTACAAGCATTATTTTTAACACTGTCAGCATTACCAGCGATGACACTCACGTTGCCTGACATATTACATGCATGACTCACGATGCTAAGAGCGATACGTGAGATGCTACAATCACCAGCTGAACGGTTCACTCACTGTTTGGGGTACTTCAGGTAGGTTTTTCCTATAGTCCTCCGAAGCATCCGTTGAGTACATGTGTCAGAATGGAAAATAATGCTAACCTAATGGTAACACACTGACAATCTGTTCCTCTAATTGGAATAATGGAGGTGCTAATTCTGCTACGACACACCAAGTACTGAACTGCCCAAAGGTACTTTTCCCGCGTAACTGACCTTTTATCTCAGCGTCGCGGCGTGGGAGCGCGAAGCATATGAGGATGTGGGTGTGGATATAATTATTCGTATACCCATATCCACACACCTGCACCACCCACATCCACACACCACACCCAGCCATACCCACACCCGGCCACACTCACACTCCACACCCACACCCTTTGGACACTTTCAAAAACCGATCATTATTTTGAAGTTGAAGGCTTAAATAATACAAACATTTATCTTCCCCACCTTCATGTAGCTCAAATAATATCTATATTTCGTCTGCTAGGTATTAGTGAAGATCAAGAAGAATTGATGAATAATTTAGTAGAAATAGAAACTGATGAACGAAAATCTTGAGGGTCAGGATGTGATTGTTTAAGTTTATTGATGTTTATGATAAATAAATACAAATTGTTCCAATAAGTGTTGATACAGTTTTATACTTTTAATAAAACCTGTTCTAGCTTGTTTGTATGTCTTTGTCGTCTACAACTGTTTTATAGTCAAAAATGCTCTTCTAATTTTTCTATTGTCTTATTTTTTTTTCTTTATATTTCGAAGAATAAAGAAAGAGAAAAAAAGAAAACGTAAAAGGTATGTTGATTACCTACTCCAATCATCATGTTACCAACAACAAAAATATCAACACGAAGAAAAAGAAAATAGTATGCATGGTTAACTTCATTTATTTATTTACTATTTACAATAAATGCAATCAGAATCATACTTTTGTCTATCAGCTTGTTAAAATGTGACAGTTGTACAGAACAGAAAAGAGTAAATGTGTATGCAGTAAGCGTAAAGAAGTGTAACTTGAATAATTATATTTTTTTACGTCTTATTGACATTTTTATTGTTAGTAAGATGATGGTCAGAGTAGACAGTCAACATACCTTTTACGTTTTCTTTTTTTCTTTTTTTATTCTTCGAAATATAAAGAAAAAAAAGACAATAGAAAAATTAGAAGAGCATTTTTGACTATAAAACAGTTGTAGACGACAAAAACATACAAACAAGCTAGAAGAAGTTTTACTAAAAGTATAAAACTTTATCAACACTTATTAAAACAGTTTGTATTTATTTATTATATACACTCAATAAACTTAGATAATGTCTGAAAATAAAGAATGGCCAGAATTGGTAGGACAAACATTCAAACAGGCATCTCAAGCAATACTTGCATTTGATAGCAGTACGAATAATCTCTTATTTTAACTGAACTTTATATTTTTGTTTCTATTTTTCTCGTTACAAGTCTACATCCTTATAATTCAAGAAATGGTAGAGAGAAAAGAATGTTTGATCCGCAACGTGTTGAATGCGTCACAGATAATAATGATATTTTAACTAAACCACCTCATTATACTTATCGATGTTGACTCAAATTATTATTTTGCTTAATCATTTTAATGACATTTAAACAAACGAACTCAATGACAAAAATCTAACGAATTTTACATATTTAGTAAACGTTCCTCTGTTCATTTCAAGTATCTATACTCAGCTTCTTTTGCTAATTCACATTCATGATGAGACATAATAATAAACAATACTCTTGATAAATTTGTTTTCAACAGTACAGCTTCGCTCAATTTGCCTTTAATGATAATCTAATAACCGGCGACGTTTTAATACAACATTGTTTTCAAGTACCTGTCACAGTTAAAAATGTTTTTACGAAAACATAACAACTAAGAAGAAATAATTGAGCTAGTAGTGATGTGAGATTGATTGTTTAAAAAATTGTCGCACTGTACAGATAATGAACGATCGAAAGCAATAAGGAGGACAATGCTGAAAAGTGTGCTGTTCGATTGATGCCAATTTGCACATAAATGATTATAATGAGACATTATGTCTTTGTGCAGTTCTTTTATTAGGTAAAATATAAAACAATTGATACGATAGCACAACTCTTACCTTGTCGCAGTTAATTTTCACACAATTCAATTTGAAATATTCCCGAGATGTTCACCACGCGATATTACAAAAGAGTTTAAGATTTAATTGGACCAAATTAACGATTACGTTGTATATTATATGTATCTTAAGGTGCTCTAAAAACTCTGAAAAAAATGAGCCCTAGAGATCTTTGTTCCGATGAATTATCACTAAGGGTGTGGGTGGGTGGTGTGGGTGTGGGTACAGAGAAAACATACTCACACCCATACCCACACCACACCCAAATCCAAAGCCACCCCACACCCACACCCCACACCCACACACCCACACCCACACTAGTCATATGTCAAGCAATTTTCTTCTTATTCGGCTTCTTTATTTTATCAAAGAAACATTCCGAAACAGTAGGAAAATAATTTTAACTGAAAAAAGCTATATCCGATGATGATCATATTCAAGACGTGGCGGCCAAGCGTTGGTATTCCTCATTTCTCTCCTTGTTGTGCGTCTCGTGGTCAACCATTGCTTTGGCAAAACCTCGTTGAACTATAGGGATGTTGTGATCGGCTACTTTATTCACCTTTTGCGCGTCGTCGAGGCGTTTTTCCTCACTTTCCAACATGAGCAGTTGGTTCATGGTGGAGGTACGCGAGGTGATTATTTGTGTGGTCGCCTTATTATAAAGAGTTGCCAGACGGAAGAATAAGTCTGTCGTCTGATCCATACCACCCACAAGCGAGAGGATTCTGTTCCTATCGTCGATGAACTATAATTGACAGATTATGAAGAGATAATGAGTTAGAAAAAGCTATATATATATTACCTTCACTGCTCGAGTAGCCACAAGAGAGAGCAAGCTAGACTCTTGCGCGAGCTGCTTCCATATGGCAGTCAATGATTTTAAATGGGCAACAATGTTCGATACAGCTGTTGCATGATTAATGTCTAAAGGTGACTTGGTTGACTGTGTGGAAGTCGACGATGGTGTTGATGGCTGCACTGCTCGAAGCAGTTCTTGAAAGAAAGCAGTAACTTCTCCCAACTCCTTCAAGACTTCGTCAACAGCTGAAGTCACATCATTGGCACTCTTGGCAATGTTATCGAGCGAGCTTGGAAGCAAGATTTGTCTTTCCTGGATCGTTGCCTTAAAAAGTATCTTCAGAGCTGTGTTCAACTCATCAGACACCTGGCTCATGATCATCTCCACACGAGACATACTCCTCTCAGCTGTTCTGAAAGCACTATCAACAACATTAGTTGCTTGAGTCAAGGTGGTCCGATAGGATGAAGGATACTTGATGTAGGTATAAGGGCGAGATGTATCAAGTGTGTAATCTTGACGCGACATCACGATGCATACATGAGAGAGTTCGGAGATTATCTGTAGTGGCTTGACCACGAGATCTTCCCATGCATCGATTCTCATTGGAGATGTTGATGAGTTTGGCATCACAGTACTACTCTGTGAACAGGCAAGACTAGCGATAGCGCTAAGTACGATAAATACCGCAAACATTGTTCTAATAGATATTGTGACTGGCAATCTCGAAATGAAGAAACGTAAAAAAGTCGCGAAATATATACAGCTTACAACAGGTGTTCGTTTTCTCAGTGCTTTTATTATCTTTCATAGATTTAATACATTCTACACAGGGTATAGTTTTAACTAGGGCAAAGATTACATTTTAAACGTTTTTTTTCGAGAATATGAGTGAGAGAAGTAATGATTTCATTTTCGTTTAACGTCAAGGGACCTTGATGAGGCATTTAGTGACTT